GGAAGCAATTACTTTTGCAGTGACGAAAAAGGTTGAAGGAAGTTTTCAATTTAGTGATTTTGTTTTAAATTTTGCTCGTATTTTGATATTGATGTCCGAAATCTGAGACCTTTGATTTTTCAAAGCTCCACTTAATTCATGACTAAATGATTGCGATAGTTCCAAAATGATTCAGAAAATGGCCAAAAATATAATTTTATTCAAGAAACCAATCTTTTTAGGCACAGCGTAGGTAATTAATTATAGAGCGGAAGCTATCAATTTAAGCAAAACTTCAATAGGGTTCATTTATAATTAAAATGCTATTTTAACTCCTAAATGATTATTGCTTTGGATTTAACGCTTTAATCAAGGAATGAACCCTTTTAGGCACTGCAAATGTAATAATTTTTAGAACAGAAGCTACCACCAAATTAATTAAAACTTCAATGGGTTCATTCTTAAAGTTACTGGCTTTTTCTAACTTTTTCGTAGACTTAACGCTTTCATTCATCTCGTGACGGATGTAGGTGCAGCAGAACAGGCATATTTTACTTCCCAATGCCTTGTTACGAATTGTTGCTTTTTACGAATTCTTGCCTTACCATTGAACGTCAACGACCAATAATACCATTGGCAGACGCTTTAACTCCACACAATTGTAAAAACATTCTTCATAAAAAAGTGAATTTTCCTATTTGACATTTAAAAAGACATTAAACACACAATTCGAAATGATCATCGAGTTCTAATGCGTTTGTAAATAATCAACAGTATTCAATATTTAAATACAAACAAGGCGACACCTCCGTCGAAAGTAACCGACAACCATTCGTGGTGTAATTGATCTACGTCAGTAATCTAAATAGAGCATATGAGGCATAAATTTAAATCATTGAATTACACTGCCGTGCCGTATTTAACTTTCGATAAAAAATGGTAGCTTTTTTAAAAGGGTAAAAGTGATTGAAGTTTTTTAATTTTTCTCTCAACTTTTCGTTGATGATCGAAACGTGGAAATAAAACTTTTGGATGCCCGACTAAAAGAACGCGTTACTTTTTAAATGATTCAGAAAAGAGCAGAAAATTAAATTTCAATCAAAACTTTAAGTCACTGCAAAGGAATTGTTTCTAGAAGACAAGCTATTAAATTATCAGAAGCATTCATCCATTTTTTGATTAATTTGATATGTTTGGCTCTTTTTTGGCCTATTACTTGGAACTATTGCTTTCGTTCTTTAATAATTTTTAGTCAAGCATTGAAAGATTAAACAAACCAGATTTCGGACTTTGATGAAAAATGAAAGCAAAATTAAAAGCACTTGCAAATTAAAAAAAGAAGAATAATAAGTTTTAAAGAGGACCAGGCATTTACGCTCAAATTAAATTCTTGACTTGTTTTAAAATCTTCGGTAAATTTTCAAGTATGAAAAATGATGTGATTCCGTTTAATTTTAGGTGAAAAACAATAAATACATTCGACCCTGATATGAATAATCAGGAACCGTTTTCAAGTTATATACCAATTTGTTTTTTTTTAGCGAAATCAAATTTTAAACTCTCAATTGAGTTTCCATTCAACATTTTGTTAACCGGTTTTTGTTGACCGAAATTACAGATTAAATTATGATTTTTTGGGTCGCGTTGATGTTTAGCGTTTAGATTGTTACTCGGTGTTTGAAACAAAAAGTGATGCTCCCAGCAGTTGCGTGCGCTCTTTTGTGGGAAAAGAGGAGATAATGAAACAAAATTAAACAAAATATGAAAAGCGCGCCGACTTACGCATTTTTTTGGAAATAAAATACTTTCTTGAGCAATTTTTTCCATTTACTTAGAAAATGGTTTATAAGTTTAATCGCGAGGAAATGATGCCGCAATAAAAATATGCAAATAATAATAATTCCACTTACGATTCAGCTTTTAACAGTTACTGTTTGATATTTGCTATTCGGTAACATAAGAAAAAAACACTTCACTCAGACCATTTACAAGGCATTCAGACTTTCAGGGCTTAATAATCGATCATCTACTTTTGCAATCAGTTCTGACTTCGGCCATTTTGATCTACAATATTAAGCCTCAGAATTTTTTTCATTCATTGCTTTTTCTGAGACCTTTTCCTAAGGGCAGCAGCACTACGGTAACAAGTATCTAAATTATCGAATTTTTCTGAAATTAAATAAAACATATAGTTGGTTTGACGATATACTGGCTATCTTTGAGAAAAAGACAATTGTAAAAGGAACCATTAGGTCGAAAATATTAATCGATGTTACAAAGACTAATCTAGACTGAAATTCCGTGTTGCGTTTCACGGGTATGAAGCAATTGAACCATTTACAAGGCAGTCGAACTTTCATGGTTTTATAAACAAGCAGTTTTTTCTCTGTTATATCTACTTTTTTAATAGTTTTGACTGCGGATTAAACTAATTTACAGTTTCTTTCATACATTGCTTTTCCTAAGCCGTTTTTATTAGAGCAGCAGTACGGTAATAATTATCTATCTAATCTATTTTTTCTAATTCATCAGGTATTAATTTCTGAAAACAAAGATCAATTTTTTAAGTTAAAATTATGATTTGCTGACTTTTTGTGCGAAAATGATAATTGTAATGAGCCAACAAGTCAAAAACTTAAATCGATGAAACAAAGATTAATATGAGTAGAAGCTCTCTTTTACATATTCCAGGTTAGAAAAAACTGAATTTATGCAAAGATTTTGATTTTTCAATTTTGAAGGTCAAAATCTAGAGTGTATAAACGCGTTAAGGGTAAATGCAAAAATTTAGACTTTCCTTTTTTGAAACAAGGCAGTTAAATTGCAAGTTCTCAGTTTTACACTTCCTCTCGATAGATGAAATTTGATTATCAAGTAACAATTACAAGTTTGCTGCAACTGGGCTTAAAAACATGCTTTTTTTCGAGGAGAAACAGTTCCAACTCACATTTGTTCAATCAAAATTAGCTTTTTTGCTTTGAAAAAATTTTTAAAATCAAGTTCTGTTTCTTTGTTCATTTTTCGGAGTAATTATACAAATCAGTACAAGAATACTACTTGCTTTGATAATTGTGTTTTGCTTCTGTACAACCTTACAAAAAGCACTGATAAACGATTCCCGTCATAACTGGTGGAAGAAAGGGAAAGGGGAGGATTTCATTTGCGCTTAACACGCAAGGACAAGGACCAAAAGGAGGAATTGACGACGAAGACTCTAAATGCAGAGCAAATATGCAACATGACCAACTTTCAGTTCAAATCAGCCAAAAGTTCAGTCTTAGAGGAATACTAGAGGCGGATAACGCTAAGTGAATGCTAAACTTTTATTGAAACTAATTTAAGTACCTATTCTCTCAGTAGTCTGGTAAAAAGTTGATCTGGTTAAAGACTTAGCCTTCTACTGCAAACTTAGATAAAAAACGCTACACTTGTAAAATTGGTGCCGTAAAATTATTGACAAAAAGTCAGAAAAAGCAGCTGATTTTGCCTCAAAAAATAATAGACATAATCAGTATTCAGCTCTCACGCACAAAAAAAATGAGAAACTGATTTCTTACAATAAAACAATTGTTCACTACTTCTATTCAAAATTTCATTGTTTTTTTTAAACGGAATAAAAATGTTTCAAGTTTTATCGGCAAAAACTGCCATAGTCATTAATATATGTTTTACTACACAACCATCCGCAAGTCCTTGAATTGCCGAAAAAGTAGAAACATTGACAAGAGAAATAGAGAGAGAAATCGGAAAATTTTTCGTTTGATTTATATCGTGTATATATCCCGCAGTTAATTTTTAGGTGACAGAAAGGATGGAATTTTAAATTGAATGCCTTGAAAAACTTAACTATTTGAGCAAAGCAACGAATATTTATGCATGGGGTGGTTTTTTGTTCAGATCATTTTTGCACTCAAAAAATACTTTTTAACGATAAGGTTTCGAATTTTGAGAAATGATTCTACTTCAAAATTTTATTAAGACCTATAGTAAATTTTTTTTGCAATAGTCTTTGGTATATTTTGGGGAGTCCGAAATATGCCCATTTGGCAATGCTCTGCATAATTCGCGCTTTATGATGATTTAAAATGGTTTATAAATTTCGTTGCGTGGTAATTGAAACAAACATTGAGACAAAACACGTGCAAACTTATAGTTTTTCCATATAAAAATCAAATTTTAACGCTAACGATTTGATTTCTACTATTTGTTATCAAAACAAAGACAAACAAGTCAAGACAAACAGTCAGAGAAATTTAAGCTTAAAAAATTGCTACATCAGGCTAAGAAAATCATATTTATCTCCAGCGATAAACAGTTTCAAATCAATTTCAAAAATACACAAAGAAAAAAGATGAAACTCAATTTTCCCAATTCCCATAATTACCCAATTCAAGTTTTTCAAGTTATCCCTCTTATGAAAACAAAAAAGTGATTTTTTGAAAAATTGTAAGCCCGTAAATGAACAGATATTAAAAAACCACTGCTGTGTTTCAAAACTTGAGAAAACAATATTTGCAAAAATGTTTTCTGTCGGCTCTTTTCTACTCCCCTCATTTCAAATTTTCATTGTTCTCAGTTGTTGTATGGGTGATTATGGCTAAACGCATGATAATAAGTTGTAAAGTATGAAAAACAAATCTGTTTACAATAATTAGTTTGTTCACCATGCGTAAGTCCATTACATCATGACAACGTATCTTTGTACTAATGTAATGAACATTTGCATGGCGAACAAACTAATTATTGTAAGAAGATTTTTAAAGAAAAAACTCAAATTTGGGAGGGGGAGGGGTCGGAAAAGAGCTTTTTTGTTTAGTAGATTAGAGGGTGATTAGGGTAGGATGTTGTTCACATGGTTCCAATTTTGAACTGAAATTTTTTTAAATTAAGATGTTAAGGTTAATCAATTACTCAAAATGGTTAAATGTACGACTGGTATCGATATATTTAAGATAGCACTCTGTTGGTTGAGATTAGATAACTGCGATTGATTGATTACTTGAGACAGGATGACATAGGAGTTAATTGATGACTCTTCCTCGTCCGAGGAGAGAGCGAATGCCCGTGTGCATTTTGCCCATTCGGGGCTGTATTTTGTCGTAGACTGAGGCTGGTCGCTCCAGATTGTAGACCACAAGCGCCCCTACGAGCACACCAATGAGTGTCGCAGCCACTAAAACAACACAGAGGTTGTTCCAAAGGACGAGATAGAGAAAGAGAGTGGAGGGGGGGTATTTAAAAGTCTAGGGCATGCATGGGCAAGGATGATTTACAACGATTTAAGTTATTCTTTTTTTTGTTATGATTCCCCCAGAAGCTTCAATTTTATTCCAGCTATCAAACAAAAGAATGTGATGCGGTGTCAAGTATAACTTACGTGAATTCTTTGGAGCTTACGAAAAAAAATTGGCGCTTTCCAAAAATAGTACTCCAGAAATCTTGTCTTAACACTATTGGAGAGCACCAATTCTTTTTCACTCTGCTGGACAATCATGGTTACAAAAAATTATAGCCTGTATTCTTACATTAGGACAACTGGCTCTTTTTCCTTTTCCCCCCCACCTCACACGAGCTTCAGTATATTAGTGTAACGAGTGGTTTTACGAGGTTGAGTATGCAGACCAAATATGTTTGTCATGGCCTTATTAGTCTGTATGTGAATTTTCATAACAATCGGACAATGTGATCAACAAATTTGCATAGAAAAATTTGCAGGTGGGGGGGAAAAGGAAAAAGAGCCGGACAACTTAATATTGTGCGGGGAGGTCAAGGACTCAAAACTGAACACGATGCAAGCAGAAGCAATGGAATCAATCACAATAGATGAAGTCGAAATAGTTCAGTCACCAAAAAATGGAAAGATACTTTTTTGCGAGCAAAGCAAGTTTTCCTCTCAGTGAATCGTTCGAAATTATCACGTAATCAATCACTATTTTTGACTGGTTAGTATGGTTTAAATATCACCGCGTTTGATGTACTCACGGATTACAGGCACAATGATGAAGAGATAGTACCAAGCAGTTTTCTTGCATTTCTGAAAAACATTAGTTCTACAATTCAACCTGATTATCAACCAAAAACACAATTTGGCTCATAAATCAGCTACATTCTGTTTCAAGCTTTTAAGTTCATAAGTTCAAGCCTAAATAATTTAACAATCAAGAAATATCTTTATAAATTAAACTATAGTTTACTAATTTCTTCTTGTATCCCCATTAATGATCTGAGCATGCGCCCATTTTTTTTGGTAAATTCAGGAGTGCTCAGAAACTGGTTTTGGTCGACCGTCCTAAAGGTCGACAACATTTTGATTTTTTTTTCAAAATGCCCCCTTGAGAAAATTCCGTCTTTTCTGTTAAACAGAAAACGTTACATAAGCTTCAATTGTTACCCAAAATAAGTTTTGTTTTTATATGGATGACCTTCAGCCAATCACATTGAAGCATAATGAAACAGGCATTAAAACATGAAAAACGGTTGTGTTAGGGAAAATACCGGAGAATGCAACATGCACCACTGAGTGTACCTGTGACGTGTGGTCGGCCGACTCGACTACACTGGAGCACTTGGTGGCCACCACCGACCCAGCCGGACAGACGTCACCAGAGGGACATCGGCGGGGTGACGAATAAGCATTCTGAAACACAAATAGCCCAGAATAGCCCAGAATAGCCCATACCTATGCTATTAAAAGTCTCGATATTTTTTCGGACCTCATTTGTGAATGATTTTTTTCTACTTCAATAAATTTTTTTGTTGGGACAAAATTACCGAGCTGAAACAGCAAACTTAATCACCAAAAATACCCACCCATTCAACAAAAATGTCGAATGTTTTTAGGCTGATATCTTGATTCGGCTATTTCGTATCAAAGTTACTGTCAAGTCTCACCACAATTAATTAATTTACTGAAGCCTAATCAGTTTACCGGACAGTAGAATCCTTGTGGACACTGGGTGCAGACCGAGTTGCCTGTGGTGTTTCCGGTGTAATAGCCCTTCTCGCAAGCAGTGCAGTTGGAACTTCCGCTCTCGTTTGCATAGGATCCGGCCGCACACTTGATGCACGCAGTGTAGCCAGTTGCATTGCTAAAACCCAAATCAGAGTGCAAGTCAGAAGCGGTTTTACAGTTAAGAAAGCAAAAGTTTTCTTTTTGCGAGAGGGATAAGAAAGCAAAAACTTTCGTCACAGAAAGTTTTGTCAATATTTTGGGTCGGCCTAATTGATCTTCTAAGCGCTCTTCTCCTTATTAAGGTCTTCCCTCTTAATCGAATGACTTGAATTCAAAACTGAAGGTGCCTGTGGGATTTGCAACCAGTGTTTGTTTTTGCAAAAGCAAAAATTATACGATTTGCGAGTTTATTACAAGAGATTGCAAAGTTCGCCTATTTGTTCGAGAGAAACAGTTTTGGCTTTTTTTAAAATAACATATTAGTGACAGAATCATTTTCAACGACCTAAAAGTTTCAACTGAACTGCCTTAATATGTTTGATGTGCTGTTTTTATGTGCTTTTTGCTTTGCTGAGCAATGTCAAAAAGGGAGTTATGCTCATTTAAACTTTTCACAAAGAAAAAGGATTTTTTTACATTTTTTAACAACTTTTGATTTCTTCATTTTCTTCTGCGATGCTACATTACTATATTTTAAAAATGAATAATAAGTGCAATTCTTTTCATAGAAGTCACAAATTTTCATCAAGTTTTTCATTATTTATCAAAACAGAAGATGATTTTTCCTATAAACATTGTCTGAGAATCAACAAATCATGTGATAACTTAATTTGCGATATGCACTTATTTGGGAAATAACGCCAATAAATGAAAAAATTCGTTTTTTTTTTCTGCTTGGTGTAAAAAGGATCTGCCTTTATATCCAATTGAAAATTTTCTGCTTTGAAACATGTGTCCGAAAAAGAACATTTTTCGAAGTTATAACGTGATAGAATTGTACATTGGAATATGCTAGGCAAAATAATAAAAGGGTTGGATGAATCTAGAATGGCTAACTGACTTCCCACGAGGATGACAAGGACCATGAGAAAAAACCAAATAGTGGACTAACTTTCTTTCTCGACGCGGAGTACAAGCAGATAATCAGATAGAAAGTATGTAAAATTAGATTACAAATCCTTCCAAAAAAAATACGTCTGGAGCTGTTGTTCGGTGAAGTCCCATTTGTACCAAGATTAATGTGTATCAAAATAAAATGTTGACCTCATTTGTACTAAAGTTGTTCGGCTCGATTTCTGATTGGACAAATTGTGAGCCAACGAAGTATTAAATTCTTTTTCTACTGTTCGGACAAAACAGCAAAGTTATGACGGCCGCAGTTGCGAGCTTGTCAACAGAGGGTAAGAATCTATACAAAAAAGAGCCGGCCACCTGCTACCTTAAGCCAAGAGCTCAAAATAGTAGGCTTACTAGTCGTTGATCAATTGATTATCTTTGGTAGAGATGCGATTGATTTTTATTTTGGCACAAATGGAAAGATTTCTTTTTTTTTGGTGCCTGTAAACACCCACCGATTGTTCAATCTTTCATTCTGTCATTTCATAATTAGTTTTCTTAATTACAAATTGAACCCATCACAATGTATGATAAATATAGAGAATATATAACGAAGAGAACACTTAGAGCTAAATTTAAATTACAGCAAGACTAGCCGTATATCAAGGCAAAGCTTTGAATTTTCCGATTGCAAATAGGACAATTGAATTTTTTTTTGGTTGAATGGTTGAAAAAATAATTGAGAAAAAAAAGAAGATCTTTTCATTGTTTCTTCATTTTCGCCCCCCCATGATATGTAAAAACTAAGGGTATGTTTTAGCACCTCGTATTGTGATAATAGAATTATATTGCTGGCCTCAATTCAATTTGTAACGCTTTTTTTGTTCCGACTTTCGATACGAAAGTAACGGAATATTTGTGCTCGGGGTGGTTTTTTTTCTTCAGACAAATTTCGACTTTCTATCTAGCCATTTTTTACATCATTCAAAAGGTATTGTTGTCTTGAGCTTAAATTTGAAAAGATATTTCATCTGTGATCATTTTTCGTAAAGTTATGGGGTTTAAAGATGGGCACTATGGCCAACTTGGGACAATTAACGCGCTATATTTCGCGCTATAACGCGTAAGCGGAGATTTAATCCGTCTTAGAAATCGTTCCAAATTGGTTGAAAATGCTTATTTGCCATAATTGATGTGTTACTGGAAGCAAAATTTATCACTTTGTACTTTATATGGCGTGTGGGGGGATGATTTTCACAAAATATCACAAAAGTTTTTTTACAAATTTTTTTTTCATTTTTTTTTACATTTAATTTTTTGCATGTTATTACTGCTTCATAGACCTCAAAATGCAGTCGGAACATTCAGGGCTTCGCCTTGATACGAGCAGTCTTGTTTGCCTTTTACGCGTGTTATATTGCACTTTAATTATCTCAAATCAGCCAAATTAGCAGTTTTCAAACGCCTGTTACTTTTCGGAAAAATCACAGGTGAATTATCTTTTTCAGTTTGAGCCCAGAATAACAATATGTCTTAGATGATCTTGAGCTCAAATGTAAAACAAGAAATTTCACCTGTAATTTTTTTTTTACAAAAGTACGAGCGCTTAAACATTGCGAGTTTGCCCGTTTTGGGATAATTAACGTGTGATATATTTTGTGCTATTAACGCGTAAGCGGAAACTTAAACCATTTTAGAAGTTGTTCCAAAATAAATTGAGGCATGCTATTTGATCAATTGAATACTTAGCTATATGCTAATTGTATTACTATTTACTTTACACAGCGTGAGCCTTACTGTTGCAAAAGAATCTGAAAGTGTTTTTATAAATTTTTTCTTTAAAAGTTTTATCAATTTTTCTAAAGCGAACACTGCTCGATAGACTTTAAAGTGCTGTCGGAACAAATAGAGTTCCGCCTTGATGCGAGCAGTTCAATCGGCTTTGCGGCATTGCTACACCCATTTTTCAAAATTAAAGGAAAAATACTTATTAATATTAAGTTGCATCATTAACGGAATAACTTGTTTGTCCCAAGTTTCGCCCATTTTTTGCCCCTCCATTTTAGTGGCAGAACTCGCCCTCACACATCTTGCCCCGATAATTTTACACATTTTGTACTCGCACGTGTCGTTTCTTTCTTATTACACAGTTCATTAACCGCCGCTTTCTTAGGTTACGATTTGAGGGGCGAAATGTGTGTATTAATACATGAAGTTTCTACGGTAGGTTATTTAGGGAGAATTGTACGGCTGATTTATTTGGTTTTGTTATTTTTTGTTTCACTTGACTGTTCGTTTTTTTTTGGTTCCGGTGTTTACAATGTAATAAGAACGAAATTCAAAAATTTAGCGAGACTGTCAAAGTATCTACCAGCTTTTTAGAACTTTCTAGGAACAATAATTCTAGCTCAGATCGAAACCTTGAACCTGGCATAACTTACATCAAAAAGAATCGATAAATTGGGGTATATTTTTTCGTTTTTATGCATACCATGAGTTTGAACTGACTCTTTGGCTATATATTTGAAATGGCTGAGAAGTTCAGTTTTTATGTAGTGATTAAATGAACTCACTTTCCGCTGTATTCTCCTGTGGAGCACTTTTCGCAGCATCCTTTCAGACATTCTCCTTCAGGACAAACCTGTTTTCGGCAATTTCCTGAAACATGTTTGAAATTTGAATAACTGCAGTGAAAAAAAAAGAAGAAAATATAAATTAAGAAATCATGTCCCACCTGTTTCTGGAGAAAACGTTCCGTTATTGCAGACAACGCAGATTCCAGGAGGAAGGGTTGATAACTCGGTGGTTGAAAAAATCCCCGTTGTCGACATGTCAGTGGTGGTAGCCTCGGTTGTTGTCTCTTCAGTGGTGGAAGCCTCGGTTGTCGACTCTTCAGTCGTGGTGGCCTCGGTTGTTGACTCTTCGGTCGTGGTGGCCTCGGTTGTCGGCTCTTCGGTCGTGAAAGCCTCGGTTGTTGTCTCTACAGTCGTGGTGGCCTCGGTTGTCGGCTCTTCGGTCGTGAAAGCCTCGGTAGTTGTCTCTACAGTCGTGGTAGCTTCGGTTGTTGTCTCTTCAGTGGTGGTAGCCTCGGTTGTTGTCTCTTCGGTCGTGAAAGCCTCGGTTGTTGTCTCTACAGTCGTGGTAGCCTCGGTTGTTGTCTCTTCAGTGGTAGTAGCCTCAGTTGTTGTCTCATCGGTCGTGAAAGCCTCGGTTGTTGTCTCTACAGTCGTGGTAGCCTCGGTTGTTGTCTCATCAGTCGTGGTGGCCTCGGTTGTTGGCTCTTCAGTAGTGGTAGCCTGGGTTGTCGGCTCCTCAGTGGTGGTAGCCTCGGTTGTCGGCTCTTCGGTGGTGGTAGCCTCGGTTGTCGGCTGTTCAGTCGTGGTAGCCTCGGTTGTTGTCTCTTCAGTCGTCGAGTGGGTAGTAGGCTTGGGAAATAAAGTGGGTCGATTGTGGGTAGTTGTGTGCTCTCCAGTTGTGGTAGCTTCACTTGTCGGCTCGTCAGTCGTGGTAGCCTCGGTTGTTGTATCTTCAGTCGTCGGGTGGGTAGTAGGCTTGGGAAATAAAGTGGGTCGATTGTGGGTAGTTGTGTGCTCTCCAGTTGTGGTAGCTTCACTTGTCGGCTCTTCAGTCGTGGTAGCCTCGGTTGTTGTCTCCTCAGTCGTCGGGCGGGTAGTAGGCTTGGGAAATAAAGTGGGTCGATTGTGGGTAGTTGTGTGCTCTCCAGTTGTGGTAGCTTCACTTGTCGGCTCGTCAGTCGTGGTAGCCTCGGTTGTTGTATCTTCAGTCGTCGGGTGGGTAGTAGGCTTGGGAAATAAAGTGGGTCGATTGTGGGTAGTTGTGTGCTCTCCAGTTGTGGTAGCTTCACTTGTCGGCTCTTCAGTCGTGGTAGCCTCGGTTGTTGTCTCTTCAGTCGTCGGGTGGGTGGTAGGCTTGGGAAATAAAGTGGGTCGATTGTGGGTAGATGAATGCTCTCCAGTTGTGGTAGCTTCACTTGTCGGCTCTTCAGTCGTGGTAGCCTCGGTTGTTGTCTCCTCAGTCGTCGGGCTGGTAGTAGGCTTGGGAAATAAAGTGGGTCGATTGTGGGTAGTTGTGTGCTCTCCAGTTGTGGTAGCTTCACTTGTCGGCTCTTCAGTCGTGGTAGCCTCGGTTGTTGTCTCTTCAGTCGTCGGGTGGGTAGTAGGCTTGGGAAATAAAGTGGGTCGATTGTGGGTAGTTGTGTGCTCTCCAGTTGTGGTAGCTTCACTTGTCGGCTCTTCAGTCGTGGTAGCCTCGGTTGTTGTCTCTTCAGTCGTCGGGTGGGTGGTAGGCTTGGGAAATAAAGTGGGTCGATTGTGGGTAGATGAATGCTCTCCAGTTGTGGTAGCTTCACTTGTCGGCTCGTCAGTCGTGGTAGCCTCGGTTGTTGTATCTTCAGTCGTCGGGTGGGTAGTAGGCTTGGGAAATAAAGTGGGTCGATTGTGGGTAGTTGTGTGCTCTCCAGTTGTGGTAGCTTCACTTGTCGGCTCTTCAGTCGTGGTGGCCTCGGTTGTTGGCTCTTCAGTAGTGGTAGCCTGGGTTGTCGGCTCCTCAGTGGTGGTAGCCTCGGTTGTCGGCTCTTCAGTGGTGGTAGCCTCGGTTGTCGGCTGTTCAGTCGTGGTAGCCTCGGTTGTTGTCTCTTCAGTCGTCGAGTGGGTAGTAGGCTTGGGAAATAAAGTGGGTCGATTGTGGGTAGTTGTGTGCTCTCCAGTTGTGGTAGCTTCACTTGTCGGCTCTTCAGTCGTGGTAGCCTCGGTTGTTGTCTCCTCAGTCGTCGGGCGGGTAGTAGGCTTGGGAAATAAAGTGGGTCGATTGTGGGTAGTTGTGTGCTCTCCAGTTGTGGTAGCTTCACTTGTCGGCTCGTCAGTCGTGGTAGCCTCGGTTGTTGTATCTTCAGTCGTCGGGTGGGTAGTAGGCTTGGGAAATAAAGTGGGTCGATTGTGGGTAGTTGTGTGCTCTCCAGTTGTGGTAGCTTCACTTGTCGGCTCTTCAGTCGTGGTAGCCTCGGTTGTTGTCTCTTCAGTCGTCGGGTGGGTGGTAGGCTTGGGAAATAAAGTGGGTCGATTGTGGGTAGATGAATGCTCTCCAGTTGTGGTAGCTTCACTTGTCGGCTCTTCAGTCGTGGTAGCCTCGGTTGTTGTCTCCTCAGTCGTCGGGCTGGTAGTAGGCTTGGGAAATAAAGTGGGTCGATTGTGGGTAGTTGTGTGCTCTCCAGTTGTGGTAGCTTCACTTGTCGGCTCTTCAGTCGTGGTAGCCTCGGTTGTTGTCTCTTCAGTCGTCGGGTGGGTAGTAGGCTTGGGAAATAAAGTGGGTCGATTGTGGGTAGTTGTGTGCTCTCCAGTTGTGGTAGCTTCACTTGTCGGCTCTTCAGTCGTGGTAGCCTCGGTTGTTGTCTCTTCAGTCGTCGGGTGGGTGGTAGGCTTGGGAAATAAAGTGGGTCGATTGTGGGTAGATGAATGCTCTCCAGTTGTGGTAGCTTCACTTGTCAGCTCTTCAGTCGTGGTAGCCTCGGTTGTTGTCTCTTCAGTCGTCGGGTGGGTAGTAGGCTTGGGAAATAAAGTGGGTCGATTGTGGGTAGTTGTGTGCTCTCCAATTGTGGTAGCTTCACTTGTCGTCTCTATAGTCGACGGGTTGGATGTATGATTACCCGGAAGGATAGTGAGCCGAGAAAATGGACTGTCTCCTACTTTCTCATCCTTGAAACCTAACATATGTGACTGCTGCTGGTTATCGCAAGCAACTGAAACGAAACATCGTAATTTTTCACAAGCATGATATAAATTTAAAATTTAGGTTTTTTAAATGCATTAGTTTTACCATAGCGCAGTAGAGATGTTTAGATTTTGAATTTTTTCTTAAACTATAAAATACCAAAAAATTTTGCTCCGGAAATTTTCCCAAAAACACAAAGTTTCATGATTTTTTTGGATACAAAGGAATTTCATCAATGTGCTTTCTTGAAAGCAAAGATATTGGAAAGTTTAATTTTGAATCATTTTCTTGGTAACATTACTCGATTACAAATTGCTGGTTTTTTTTCTCGGTAAGCTAATGAAACTCTATTTTCGAGTAGGGATGAATAGATGGTATTTGTTCTGCAGGCATTTTAGATCAGGAGTTTTAGAACGGCTCAAGATTGCCGCCGTGGTTTCAACAGAGACTATCCTATCTTGTTCAAAAACTTCAGCAAAATTTTCCAATGTAGGTTAAGATTCGAGGCGTTTGAAAATTTGCAGATTTCGATAATTTAGGACTTTTTGTTTATTCAAAGCAGGGGCAGCAAAAAAAGGAGAAGCTGATTCTCAAACCAAAAATGAATGCTAAACATGAATGCCCTGAATTTTCCGATTGCACTCTTTTCTATAGTCAATCAAAGTTTTTTTTCGAATTCAAAAGTCTGAGAGAATGTTCAAAAAACTTGAGAGCCAATTTAGCCAAGCTGTGAACCAATTTATGTGCGGATTAAAGATTTTACTACTGATGCTGAAAACTTAACACGAAGTATTTATGCGTGGCTATTTATACAAACAAAATCGTTCGAAATTGAATTGAAAGTAGTTAATCGGCCGTAATAATTTCGTACAACTGAATTTTTTTATCTTCGAATATTGTCCAAAAATTAAAGTTTTCCATTACTGTTCTGTAAATTTCCTGCTCAAATTTTTCCAAAAAGTGCCTAAAAACGCTTTTTTGGCCTGTTTGTTTTCCAAAACTTCCTTATCAAAATGGGGTCTTTATAGTGAGTTGGAGAGCTCAGAAAATCAATTCGTTCAACCTAAACAAAAAATGTCGACAAAATTTTCAAAACTTTTTGAAAATCCGACCTCCAACCCCCCTCGCGAAAATCCTAGATCTGCCCGTGTCTTAGATAGTAGTTTCAAGCTGCAGAATCACCGATCGTACAGATGGAAGATATATACGATTGTTTTTGGCGGCCAAAACAATTAGCATAAATGAGATTTAAGAAAACTGCAAAATTCAAAACAGATTTTCAAACTTTGTTTTCTTGCGCGTCCATATTACGCGTCAGTAAAACCAGACTTGTATCAAAGCGAAACTTTTACTGTTCGGACTGTATTTTAAGGTTTACAGAGAAGTGTTCGCTTGCATCTATGATGAGTTTTTCAAATAAAAAACATATTTGTAAGTTTTTTGAAAACACACCCACAAGCCAAATAAATTACATAGTGATAGAATTCATTTCTGCTAACGGAGAAGTTTTGAAAAATAGCCTAGTTAATTGGGGAAAATTTCTAACGCAGATTAAATTTCCGCTCGCGCGGTAATAGCAAAAAATGTATCACGCGTTAAATATCCCAAAATGGCCCAAATCCCAAATGTTTGAACCCTCATACTTTTACAAAAAAAATACTTTTTTTAATCGAGGTCAAGACAATAGTACTTTCCGAATGATATAGCCCAAGGAGTTTGTTGCATGCTGCATTTCTGCAATGGACATTTATAACAATGTGTGAAATGTTCTGCCTAAATAAAACGTATAACTATGTTTTAGACTATCAATGTTTTGAGATTAATATTGCCTCAAAAAGGTACGCCTCATTTGATGGGGTATCAAACAATTTAAATTTAGTATACTGTTTTCAAAATTGTTCTTTTTGTTCTCTTTTATCAGAGTGTTTTTGTCAACTATTGGATAGACTTCTAACTGATTTTTGGACTTGCGAATAAACTTTGCGTCAGAGAAAAATTTAACCACTATCGATAAAAGCTTTTTTGTTCCGACTTTTGTAACAAAAATAAAGGAAAATTTATGCTCGGGCTGGGTTTTTTTTTCTTTTTAACTAGCCACTTTGACGGCATTTTTTTGATGTTGCTGTCCTGAGTTAAATTTGAAAGAATATTTCACCTGTGATCAACTTTCGTAAAATTATAGGGGTTTAAAGAATGGCATTTTGGCCAATTTTGGACAATTAACGCGGGATATATTTCGCGCTATTAATGCGTAAGCGAAGATATGTCCGTCTTAGAAATCGTTCCAAATTGGTTGAAAGAAGCTTATTTGGAATAAAATTACAAATTACTATGAGCAAAATCTGTACTTTATATGGCGTGTGGGCTGATCACTTTGTACTTTATATGGGGCGTGGTGGGATGATTTTCACAAAAGAAATCTCAAATTGAAAAAAAAGTACATTTTAAATTTTTTTTATTCAATTTTTTCTTGTTACTACTGCTCCATAGGTTTTAAAAAGCAGTCGGAACATTCAGGGCTCTGTTTTGATTCGAGCAGTCTTGTTGTTGTTTAGGAGAGAGTTGGAAACGCTGGAAGGCAGCCGACCCATTTTACTTACGGCGCCAATCTTTGTTCAAGACTTTTCAAAACATTATAGGATAAAGAAAACAAATTTGATTGGCCTAAATCAGAAAACAACTCCTAGATCCACCCAGGTCGAGTGTTTGTTTTTTGTTTCGACTTTCGTAACGAATGTAACGGAATATTTGTGCTCGGGTGGGTTATTTTTCTTCAGACAAATTTCCGCTTTTTAATTAGCCATTTTGACAGAATTTTTTTTATATCATTCAAAAAGTATTGTTGTCCGGAGCTTAAATTTGAAAAGATAATTCACCTGTGATTAGTTTCCGTACTGTTATGGGGATTAAACTGTTGCAGCTTTGGCCAATTTGGGACAATTAACGCGCGATGTATTTTTTGCTATTGTGAGCGAGGATTTAATCTGTCTTAGGATTTGTTCTAAATTGGTTCAAGGAACTTATTTGCCGTAATTGATTCGTTAATAGGAGCAAAATCTATCACTTGGTACGTTATATGGCGTGTGAGGTGATGGGTTTCACAAAAAAACCTCAAATTAAAAAAGAATTAATTTTATTTTTTACTGCTCCTTGGAATTTAAAAGGCATTCGAAACATTCAAAGCCTCGCCCTGATACCAGATACAAGCATTATTGTTTCATTTTTTTATTTGGATTGCGGAGCTACTAAATTGAAATGAGCATACGGGAAAATCAGACTGCATAATTTTTATATCAATAAAAATTTGTAATTGAGATAACTAAAATTGAATTAGTTGTAAGTTATGACGTGCAATACGCCGATGTGGCTTGTAACCCATGAATCAATGAACCTATGCCGCGTTTTCTCGAGCATTTGCTGGAGGAAAAGTGTTTTTAAAAAATTGAAAAACTTGTCGACTTTTTTAGGTCAACCAAATGATTTTCCGAGTTCTCTCAAATGTGAGAAATTGTTTTGACCAAATTTTCTGCGTTGAAGGCGTTTTTTTTAAAAAACAATGTTTTAGTCAGTTTTTGGAAGCGTTTTTTCTTGGTACGCGCTCCCCCTTCAAAAATAGTATTTATTGATGCCTAAAACGACCTCACAAAATTTTTAGGGTGGTCGGCGAAAAAATGATGTCTAGAAAAAAAGACCAAACGAGTGACCGCTTCAGTGGGCAGGGGGACGAGTCCCTGAGGAAGGGAGCATCCACCTCCTAACCACCCCTTAATTCGCTACTGGTTTGTTCCGATGTCGGGGCGGGTTAGACACTACTCAAAACGGCAATCAGTGTTCAATCTGGCGAAGAACTGGGGGAGTCGGGGTGGGGGGGTCTGGGTAAATTTGGTTTAATGTATAATCTGGCAATTCATTTGCCTTAATTACATTGCAAAAGCCAGTCGTAGATATGTTTTCTTAGGATTTTGACATCAATATACTCATCTGACATTTGTAAAATTTTTGTCAAAAATAGGTCAAATTATTTAGCTTTTTTTGTTATCGGAACAATAATTGAACTCACTATTATTGACAAGCAATGCTAATGCGATGATTTTCAGCACAAATTTAGCCATTATCAATCAATCAATCAACTCGCTCTCGAGACAGGAAACAATTTGTGCGAATAAAATTGGCAGATTTTAGCTATGAGTCCAGAAAAAAGCTAGACAGCTCTTAATATTTTTCAAATTTCTATCTGTCTTGGTTGGACAAATTTTGTCGCATCAATTCAAGGTAGTTTGTCTGAGGATGTGGGTTTGTTTTGTTTTAGTGTCACGAGTTGTGGTAAATTTGATCATCATCTCATTTAAGGTATGGTTTGGAGAACTTCCTGTTTCTAAGCAAAGGTCAACTCTGATTAGCAAAATAACAATAAGGTTTTTTCTTCGACTTATTTATCTAATGTCGAATTTTGGCCTTATGAACAATAACTGCTTGATTCAGTGTTAGTTTAGTTAAATAACTTTCATAGATGCTTAACGGCAAAAATAAACAAGAAAAACCATATTAAGACGTGACGAATTAACTCAAAATGATCCAGCCTTATTTTTTACTGTTCATCACTTTTAAAATCTTAAGCTATAGAGCTTACTGATAATTTTCGGTTTGTCCCGACAGTAATAGAAATGTTTTAGACACCCGGGTTGACTTCCAAAAAAATGCTATTGACACACTTGGATTAGAGAAGTTTCTGAAAAAAATGCTTATCCTACAGTTTCCATTTATGAAAATAGGTTGACAAGCGTCTTTCCTAAGAACTCAAACTAAGAAATCCTTCCAATTTGTTTTTAATTAGTTTTTAGTAAAGTTACTGCTGATTTTTCCTGAGGAGTAGATCTCCCGTTTGTCCAAAAAAGTTTTTTTTTGCAAGGGAAAAATGCTTGTCATACATTTTTTGCATAATGAAAATTGGATGATTATTATTTTTTAAAATAAAAATTCCAAAAATATCGAGGAAAAAAATCTTGAGTAAAATGTTACCCTGACCCA